CTTTGTGTCCGACGAACCACAGATCAAAAACGGTCCGAACGGGCATACAGAACATCTGACGTAATATGATTTGATGGAAGCACCGGTGAACTGAGCTACTAAAATTACACACCCCATTTGAATCCGAATGTCGAATGAACTAAAAGTTAGGAAAAATAGCGTATTTCAATTACAATAAATGGGTTCAAACGTTGGTAGATGCATGGGAGAGTGGATAAGAAGTTTTCTTCCACTTTAGAGGTGCAGCATAAATCTTCTGCTAAACTTATGAACGAGAAATTCCCTCATTGCGCTTCCGTACGAGATACGAGTAGCAAACATCTGATTGTCAAATATGATCTACGAACTATGGGGACAGCGTGGTCTATTGGCGTGGTAATGCTATAGTGTTAGAAGTTTACAGGTAGGATGTCCGATATGTGTGCCTCAGCTGAAATGCGTCGTCGCACATTTGACTGGTGATTAAACTCAGCATATGGTATAAACCATAAATATAAATATAAAGAGATTCCAAACGCTGATGGTTTCGTGCATCTTTGCCACGTGAATGAAACCTTAATAATACAATACGAAGACTAAGTTCTATGTCGTTAACCTGTCAGTCAAAAATTGATGTGGTGCGGCAGAGAACGAAATGAGATAATCCTATCGTTATGTTGAAAACGAATTGTTGCTGTTGCTTTCAAAATCCACTCGGCTGCTTCTTACCTCGACGTCTGAAATCGCTAGCCGTTTCTTTGTATTGTTTCACTTAAACTAGCAAAACCTTCACTGGAATGTTATCAGTGATAAAATGAGCAACGAGGACTTTATTCAAATTGAGATTCATTTTTCGTTACGATCACTTTATATCACGGATAATATTCCACAGATGCAAAAGCTTGCTTTCGTAGTCCTTGCAGACTAAATCCAGTAATTTCCCTTTTCATAAGCTTACTTGAACATTCGACTTTGATGTGTAGGGTTTTCTTTAATTCGAAATGCAGTGGAATGTCATATTATTCTTCAAGCATGCCCGGAGAAATATGAACCGCCTTAAAATGTAGACCATATTGAGTCTGCCGCCTTGAGTTGATTTATAAACTCTAGGAGGACGTTACTACATCATTTCGCTACAACTTTCTTGAAAACTTTTTGTTCGGGTTCCATGATCAATCAAAGGAGTGTTTTGTTTATGTTTACCTGATGATATTATCCGTGCCAGTAAAAAACATGTCGACTGTTGATAAAACCATTTTATCCGTTTTACATTTGGATTTCATAAGCATGAATGAAAAAACAGTCTGTTGAATGATATGGACATAGAATAAATAATTTTTTCTAAAAATTCTCGTGCTGCATATAAAAGTTCTCTATTTCTGCTCTCTGCAAATTTTTGATAGCCACAGAAATGGGAACTGGCTGGACAATCTCCTTGACTGAGTCTACGCATATTCACAATCTGTTCTCTTATACCGATAATGATAAACAGAGTTGTCTGCTGTAATATGCTTAATGGTTTGGTGATTTTGGCTCCTTACCTGGATATGGTCTGAGATTGCATAGCGCGTACTGATAGATCGTACCATCCGTGCAAGGCACGAACAAATAGGCGAAATCCGAGTCGGTAGAGAAACTAGTGAATCCGCTGGAACGTTTCAGCCGTTCGGAGCAGTTCGGTTCTTTCGGGTAACGCAAAACATTAGCCGGCTTATTGGCCCTCTTCGACATAGCAAAATTTTTGCGACAGTCCCATATTTTTATGTTACTGAAATCGATATGGTTTAGATAAGCAGCAGGAAGAAACACCAAAACCTACTCTATGGCTGAACCACAGGAAACAATGGTCGACGTGTCTCTGTACAAAACCGCGGTCACGCTCGAAATACGTTCTACAAAAATTTGTTTTTAAAAATCAACGACCAAAGCAGACTAAGAGTGATTTATTAATTCATTTTACGAATTTTGTCCGCGTTTTATTTTTAATTGTTTACTTCATCATAACGCTAAACACGGCAGAAACTGACACACACGAATCAGCTAATGGAATACAGTCTTGTTGGAGCTTACTCAGTCGGTATCAATGAAGAAGCTATTGTTCGATTGATACGAGGGTTGGATACTGATAGAAAGAGTGAGACCACGGATATAAGGGACAAAAATGAAGTTTCTTCAAATTACTGCTTGCGCAACGAGAATCAAAAAATTTTAGAGTACAAACCCCAGGTACCATCGCCTGTGAGCGCTTTATTCGCACAACCGACAGGGTGTAATTGCTAGATCAAAATGCAACAGAGAAGACTCTTTCAGCGCACTTTTTCAGCAAAGCCAGAGAGAAGACATGCCAGGCACTGACCACAGATCAGTTGTCTCGATTATATGAGAAAAGTGCCACTGTCCCGCTCCTGCCAATGGGCTCATCCATTTAGTGGAGTACGGAAACCATTCCAAAATGCTACATCATGACCCAAATGAAATAACGGACACTGAAAATGAATCGACGAACGAACCAATAATTACATTCAATACAAGTTTTGATTACCAAAAACTTGGGCTGATTCGGTGCGCTCTTGTCACTAACATTCGAAAGTTATAAACATAAAAGGTGAGAGATGATTAACTTCATTATTTGAATTTCAACGTTCAGGCCAGATACCTGAACAGATAGTATTACTAAGTACTACATCTGGATTGAGACCTACAAGAGGACCAAAACGACCTCGGAAGGGGTGGGTAAAGAAAGAAGGGAACGGAAGACAAA